GGATCGTGCCCCTGTACTCAGCACTGGTGAGACCGTACCTGGAGTGCTGTGTTCAGTTTTGGGCCCCTCACTACAAGAAGGACATTGAGGTGCCGTAGCATGTGCAGAGAAGGGCAACAAGGCTAGTGAAGGGTCTAGAGAACAAATCTGATGAGGAACATCTGAGGGAATTGGGGTTGTTTAGCCGGGAGAAGAGGAGGCTGAGGGGAGACCTTATTGCTCTCTACAACTACCTGAAAGGAGGTTGTGGTGAGGTGGGTGTTGGTCTCTTCTCCCAGGTATCATGTGGTAGGACGAGAGGAACAAGATGCGCCAGGGGAAGTTTAGATTGGATATTAGGAAAAATTTCTTCACCGCAAGGGTTTTCAAGTACTGGAACAGGCTGCCCGGGGAAGTGGCTGAGTCACCATACCCTGAGGTATTTAAAATACATGTAGATGTGGTGCTCAGAGACATGGTTTAGTGGTGGACTTGGCAGTGTGAGGTTTATGCTTGGACTCGATCAACCTAAGGGTCTTTTCCAACCTAAAAGATTCTACGACTCTACAACTTGGGAGCACATGGAGCTGGGGAAATTTCTTACGTCGGGCACAAACACTGAAGCTCTGACACCACGCTGACCCACTACCTGGCAGCGGTTCTAAAAGACGCATTTTTACCTCACGACGTTCCTCCCTTGCACTTGCTTGTTTCACTGCCCTGGGACACGCCAGGAGCAGAGGCAGCACCACCACCACCAGGGGGAAGACATGAGCAGTGCCCCGCCCACCAGCTGCCAGTAGAAGCCCCGCCCCTTCCTAGCCACCTCAGAGGCCATGTGCCCCGGAAGTCACATGCTGGTCACGTGCTTTGTTGTGATTGGTTGGAAGGAGCGGCCACCGTTTCTGGTTTAGCTGGAAGCACATCTGGCCCAGAAGGCCCTTCCCCTACAGGGGCTGCCATTTTGTTTTGGAAGGGCGGGGCTGCCATTCTATGAACCAGTGACCCACCAAGGGATGGGGAAGGGGGTGGTTGTGGTGGATGCAAATATACTGAATATCGTAGGATCTGAGCAGGAATCACATTGTATGGAATAAGAGGTAGAGGCTGTACTGGGTCTAGCTGGGATGGAGGCAATTTTCTGCTTGTTGGCAGCCCTTGCAGGACAAGGGGCAATGGGCACAAACTGAGGCACAGGAAGTTCCGTCTGAACAAGAGGAAGAACTTCTTCCCTCTGAGGGTGACGGAGCACTGGAACAGGCTGCCCAGGGAGGTTGTGGAGAATATCTCCTTCTCTGGAGATATTCAAGACCCGCCTGGACAAGATCCTGTGCAGCCTGCTGTAGGTGACCCTGCTTGGGCAGGGGGGTTGGACTAGATGACACACAGAGGTCCCTTCCAACCCCTACTATTCTGTGATTCTGTGATTCTGTGATTCTGTGATTCTGTGATTCTGTGCTTTGCACTGGTGGCCAAAGCAGCTGTGATTGATAGTGCACCAACACTGTAACTATTGCTGAGCAGTGCTTGCACAGCATCAAGGCCTCCTCTGTTCTTCACTCTGCCCTGACAGTGAGGAGGCTGGCAGAGGACAAAGCCAGCTGACCCCCAGATGATGAAATCGATATTCCACATCCTATGATGTCACGGTCAGCAATAAAAAAGGGGAGGGGTGTGTGTTCTTCAAAGTATCCTGTGCTCAGAGACTGGCTGGGCATCAATCTGCAGCAGTGAGTGCTTACTTCTCCACTTATTAAACCGTCTTTATCTCAAGTCATGAGATTATTTCTTTTTCCTCGTTTTTGTTCTTCCAGTTCCTGCTGTGTATGATCTTGTGGTGCCTCTGGTGCCTGAGTAGCTGACAGCAGCTGGACCATAGCTTCTGTAGGTGCTTCTGATGCCACCAAAATAATATTAAGACTATGCCCAAATATGGGTACTTGGAAGAACCATTGTCAGCAGAAGTCCATATACCACACATGTGTGACAGTGTAACTTGTGCACACAGCAGCAGCAGTAGAAGGGGTGTGAGGTCACCGTTGGTATAACCCATGAGCACACAGCAGCAGAAGAAGGAGGGTGTGAGGTCACATCATCAATGGCACCCCGTGGCTGTGGGACTTGGTGCAGAGTGACCATGTGCATCACAAGGGCATCAGAGGGGATGGGAGCTGCCTGGCCCTGTGTGTGCGAGGCCGAAGGAGCAGCCCCTGCAGCCCTGGCTGGAGCAGTCGGGGTGGGGGTGGCTCAGGGGCACCGCAGCGATGTGCCCGGGCACAGCGCCAGAAGAAAACCACAGGCTTCCTGCCAGGGCGGTGCGGGGGGACCGAGGGGACCACTGCGAGACCACATGGGCTGTGGTTTGTGCACCTGCAGGCTGCAGCTCCCGATCCCCCCGCGGGGAATAACGGCCCCTTGGTGACACGCTGAGAGTCAGGGACACGTCTGAGCCTCTGGGCTGCATGTCTGCTGCCAGGACAGGGACATGTCCCAGCTCCAGCTTTGTGAGGGACCTACCATGGGTCTCTATGAGGAGGATTGGGAAAATCTGTGCTCCTGGCACGGGGCTCTGGCCTGGGCTAAGGCCCTTTCCCATCTGCTGCTCCCTCAGTGGTGCTCCCTACAGACCTCAGTGGGGTCTGTAGCAGGAGCAGGGTCTTTTTCCTTCCCTTCCTGGCACAGTCTTCAGTGCTGTCCCAGCCCTGTGGGTCCCATGGCATAGGGATGGCTGGACACTCGCACCTTGGGCTCTTGGATGTGCCCTGCACAGGAGATGCTCAGTGCTCCTGGTCCTCACAGCAGGGTTCAAGCAGTGAAAAACCCATTTCCCCCCCACAGCCGCCCCTGGACGATCCCAGCCGGCAATGATGTGATACCCGCAGTGGAGTTGTTCCTCATATATGGTCATGAATGGTGCTGGAGCATTTCACTGGAGGGCTGGCTGTTTCTGAGGGGAGGTAGCTCTCGATAACGTCTAAAAAGGAGCTGCTGCCTTGATTGGCTCCTCCTGCAGCTGGGCTGGCATCTGCAGAGATATGATGACCTCCATGTCCTCGTTGTTCCTGTCAGTCGCTGGGAGCGGTGGCAAAGAGTGGAGCACAGCAGGGATGTGCCAGCAAGGCAGGAGGCTCAGGATGGGTACAGAGGGACTCCTGTGGCCTCGGGTGCTGAAGCTCCTTCTCTGGGTACAGCTGTGCAGGGGTAAGTGCCGGCTCCCTTCACCAACAGCCCAGGGCCAGCAGGTACCAGCTGGGTCATTGGGACCTCTCTGGGAACGGAATTCCTTTCCAGGAGAGCCTGAGGCGAGGGGCAGAAGGTGCTCAAGTCCATGGACCCTATGGTCCAGGACTCCAGTGTTTATGGTACCCTGTGTCTGGCTGCTATCCTTGGATACCATTTACGGACTGCTTGTTCCCCAGAGCTCTGCCTCTGGAGCTTTTGTGTGCTGGCTCTGCGGTCTGGGGGAACCCTGACCCCAGGAGGGCAGTTTATGTCCACAGAGAGAAGGGGACGAGGGCATCTGCACTTGCAGGCAGAAGAGAGGTGTCCTTCCTGGGGGGCCCAGAAGAGTGCAAGGGCTAGGCTGACACCAGGCATGAAAAGAGGATGTCATCTGGGGGAATCCAGGATTGTCTTGGTGCTCCCTAGGGACACAGAAAGCCCTGGAGATGTTGGTGGGTTTGGCTGGTGTCTGGAGTAGGCAGAGAGCTAGGGAGAACTGGGGCCTGGGGGTACAGGGCTGTTTAGGGTGAGCTGGGGAGGAGTGGACACCCTGTGCAGGGATAGGCATGGTGAGTTGCTGGACATGGGATGTCACACAGGGGGCTGTCAGGGTGGAAAGAGGTGCCAAAGGCTGTGGGCAGTGCGTGTCCCAGTAGGGCTGGAGCTGGAGCTGGAATCCCCAGACTCTGCAGCCCGTGGGACGATGATGGGCCCAAGGAAGCCCTGTATGGGAAAGGCCTAAGACTCCAGTGCCTCTGTCTTGGTGTGGGCAGGGGCGGCCCCAGACCTGCAGTACTGGATCTCAGCGCTCTCCTGAGCAGTCCTGTGCTCATATTTGAAGGGGCTGTGGAGGTGGGGCTGGCGGATGGCAGTGGACACTGTGCTGGAAGAGTGGAGGTGAAGCACCAGGGCAAGTGGGGGACCATGTGTGATGACTACTGGGGCATGAACAATGCTGCAGTGGTCTGTAAGCAGCTGGACTGTGGCTCTGCTGTTGAAGCTCATGGGGTAGGCTCTTTTGGGTGAGGATCTGGCCCCATTTGGATGGATGATGTTGGCTGTAATGGCAATGAGTCTGCACTGTCTGAACACGGAGGATGGGGTGAACATGACTGTGGTGATGGTGAGAACGCTGGAGTGACATGTTCAGGTAAGGGGTCAGCCGGTTTCCTCCTTTGAGGCTGGGGTGGGGGAAGGCACAAGTCTGTGCCCCCAAAGAGTAAGAAGTGGATGGGGGAGCAGTGCCCGGTGTAGCTGGTTGATACTGGGAAAGGCCAGTAGGAACCCACCCTAGGGTGAACTAAACTCCCACAGTGTCTCGGCCCCCACTCAGTTCGGGTCATGGGCTGCAGATACATCCTTCATCCCTGAGCCAGCCTGTCCATTTGTCTTCGAGACAGCCACCCTGCTTGGCCCTGACCCCTGCAAATACTGAGCAGGCTGCAGCAGTCACTAGAGTCTGGGAAAGTTCTCCTGCACCTGAGCTGCACACAGCACCGTGGTGCTGGGAGGGACCATGCGAGGCAGCACAGGGCGCCTTGTGTGGGAGCAGTTTGTCTGGGTGGCATCAGTTGCTGTGGATCTGGTCCCAAAGCCACCAACATGGTCTGCAGGGTGTGGTGTGGGTGTGCAATAGACACATACCCTTGAGGGCTGTGATGGTGCAGAGAAGCGGAAAGGCAGGGGGGAGGACTGGATGTGTTTGTGCTGCCAGCACTCCGTCAACAGCTTCCTGTGGGATGTGCAATAGGAAATTTTGTCATGGCTTGCTTGGAAGTTATGTGGGATGTGGGCATGTAACTGCCAGAGGGTGCTGGGAACTCCCCTTTTTTTTTTTGCTTTTCCCAGAATTTGTCCAGCTGGTGGAAGCGCAGAGCCAGTGCTCGGGACGTGTGGAGACCCAAGATGGGGGCCAGTGGAAAACTGTCTGTGACTGACACTTTGGTCCCAAAGCTGCTGAGGTGGTCTGCAGGGAGTTGCAGTGCGGCACAGCCATGCCCATCACCGAGGCAGCTTGCTCTGGAGAAGTTCTTCCTGTCTGGGACGGAGAGCTGCAGTGTGTGGGGAACGAATCCCTCCTGACCTCCCGCCCCACGGGGTCCCCCGGGGAACAGCCCTGCACCCACACGAAGAGTGCTGTTGTCACCTGCACACGTAAGGTCTCAGGGAGGGGGGTTGAACACTGGGGCTGTGCCGGGGGTCGGGGAGCAGAGCAAGGACCATGCTGGGCCGGGTGTGAGGACAGGAGTGGTGATGGGGTTGTCTGCAGCATGAAACTAGTGCAGAAGGAGAAGAAAGGCGTGCTGTCCCTGTGGCCTTTCTGCCAGCTACTGTGGGTGCAAGAGCACCGTTCCACCCTCTCCTCCTCCTCTGTCCCCAGAGTACACAGGGTTCAGGCTGGCGAACGGCAGCACGACATGTGCAGGGAGAGTGGAGGTCCAGGTGCTGGGGACCTGGGGGACCCTGTGTGCCTTGCACTGGGATCTCTTGGATGCCCACGTTCTCTGTCATCAACTCAACTGTGGGTTTGCTGAGTCCATTCCTGGTGGAGAGCATTTTGGGAGAGGAAGCAGACCTGTCTGGAGAGACTCATTCCAGTGTGACGGGACTGAAACCCACCTGAGACAGCGCCCAGTTGTTGCCCTGGGGGCCTCGTTGTGCTCCCATGGGGACAATGCTGCTGTCATTTGCTCAGGTGAGTGCCGGGAATCACAGAATCACAGAATAGTAGGGGTTGGAAGGGACCTCTGTGGGTCATCTAGTCCAACC